ACACACACACACACACACACACACACACACACACACACACACACACACACACACACACATATCCTGATGTGTAATTATGTAAATAAAAACATGAAACTTCTCAAAAGGCCAGTTCCAACATTTAAAATCTCTTTTTTGTGCAATTTGTTTAAACATTGAATTATGTTGCTGCTSTGAAGCATGACTGAGTTACACAGCTCCAAATACAGCTGTCTTTTCTCCSCCTTTTTCTTTTAATTCTGGCAATTTGTGGCTATTTATGATTTTTATGTTACCAAAAATCAAAATGCATGATTTCTAATTGAGTTGCACAGGCAACCAATCAGTTTACAAAGGTTTAYACCAGGAATAACAATTTTTAAATCCGACTAATTATCTGGAAAATAATGTAATTATCTTCTTTTAATGATGAATACTTTTGTATATGAAGTGTTTTATGTGAACATGATAAAATTATTCTCACCTTTCCTATAATGCTGCCAACTTCCTGCATACGAAAAGATAGAGAGAGTTAGATTTACTTAACACAAAAAATAAGAACGAAATTCCCCACAAAAAACATTTTTCTCATAAAAAAGCCCTGAAGCAAACAACCTTTCCATGCATGAGCAGTCGTAGCGTGAGGGTCACTCCCAAGCCCCCGTCTCCAAAGTCCTGCTCACAGTTCATGGTGGTGTGGGAGTGGCACGCAGGGAGACGCATGAACAAGGCTCATTCGCCGGTCACGCTAGCTGAGCCAAGGCCAGGACTCGTTCTCTGGCTCTCCGGGATCCTTCAGTGCTGATCTGAAAGCGGGGGAAAAAAAAGGTGACACGATGTTTAATGTGTGTGTTTTTCATTGCACCAAATATGAACCTCAATGATGCAGGAAAAATTGAATTTCTTGCACAGCTTCGATTTGGTGTGAACAGTCTGCTCATATTTAACCCTAAAGGCTGCATTCACCATTTCCTCCTTCAGAAACTGGAGGCTTGCGCCGCCTCTAACGGCCCTGCTGAGTGAAGATTCATCGAGGACAAGCCAAAGCTAAAATCAAACACATTTACAAAGGCTTTCAGGCTACAGCGCCCGATTTTTAAGCATCTCTGGGTGAAACTTCTTTATTAGTSGAAGTCGATGTAATATTAATGGTGATATTCGCTGCAAAGTCATAATGAACAGTGCTGTGTGTGTGTGAAGGGTATTGACCAGAGGCACCAGCAGAGTCAGCAGCGCCGCATCTCATCAGAGCTTTGGGATCCTAAYAGACTGTGGGTGGCTGTAGATGACTAACATACGCTCTATGTCTTCATTACCTGACTGCCGGTTTTCTCTTACAGAGAGCTGGGCCCTTATTGAAATTGGTAGTCAAAGAAAAATAAAGTATTGTTTCCCCTTGAGACGAGGGTGGCATAAAATGCGTGCAAAGTTAATCAAGTTCAATTTGTAACAGTTGTTCTAAATTGAAAAAAGGTTCAGAGTTTCATCTGAGGCGTTGTTCTGTCGGCTAGAGACTGAGAGAAAGTTGAATGAGAGAGAGAGAGAGAGAGAGAGAGAGAGAGAGAGAGNGAGAGAGAGAGAGAGAGAGAGAGAGAGAGAGAGAGAGAGAGAGTTGAATGTGTTACAGAGCAGGATTTATACGCAAACGTCGGCACTGATCACAGAGTGACATGGTGGAAGCAGCTTCGTGCACGGCAGCCATGTGACACTTAGCGYCGTGATTAATGCGGGAGTCACCTGGCTGCTCACAGTCTCAGCGTGACGGGTATAATTAGTTCACAGTATCACTCCTGCTCAACTTGATGTATATTTGCTCACGTTAGTCAGCGTGAAAGTGGAGAATAAAAGTAGGATGGGTGKAGGGCGGCAAACAGAATAACTAACAGGCGCTGCACTCGCTGCTTGTTATCTTGCTAATTAAGRCCGCATGTACCAAATACTGATCAAAGAGACCACACAAAACAAATCAGTGTTGGAGTGCTTTGTTTTTACTGTGCAAAAGAACTATTTTCCTTATACTTTGCTTCCAAGGGGTTAGACTTTCTTGTCTTTTAAAATGATCTGAAACAAAAGCGCCCTATTCTTTCTTATGCTTTTTAAAAATTTCCTTTGTACTTTGGCTGCTAAATCAGTGAGGAACTTGGACAAATGGTATATGGCCTGAACATATTTAACACTTCATCAAGTCCAAGGACTCCATAGTGCTTTACACTACAGTCATACACACATTCATACACTGATGATGGTAAACTAAAATGGTCCTGGGGCATGTTGACAGAGGCGAGGCTGCCATGCACCAGCCCCACCAGACCCTTTCACCACCACCAGTAGACAAGGTGGGTGAAGTTTCCAAAGACACAATGGCTGAGATGGACAGAGTGGGGCTTCAAACTGGTAACACACCATTTGAAGGACAAACTCCTACCTCATCCTGTTGTCACTATCACTCACAAATAGAGAAGGGGGTCTGCAGTCAAAAAGTGGGAGTCTATTGGGTATAAGTGTAGTTTTGGTAAGTTGTGATTGGTCGTATGGTCTTGTGAGGGAAGTTAAAAGATGAAAACGGTAATGGTAAAATTATTGTAAAATTAATTAATTGACTTCAAATTTGGTGCAGCTCGCACCTTCCTGTCAGAATTTCAGACTAATATTAATTTTCATAATAAAAATAGCAATCTTTTTCAAGGCTATTTTAACTGAGCCAAACACATGCCTCCAAATGTACGGTGTTCAAATCAGGTGCAGCTAGCACCTTCCAGTCTCGAGAGGTGACTAAAATTAATATTCATAAAATTAGCGATCAGATCTGTTACGCTTCTCCCCTGCTGCCTTTACCCAGAACATGCCCACATGTCAATCCGACCAATCATGGCTTACCCAAAACTAAGCCCGCACCCAAGAAACTCCCACTTATTGTCCGCAGAAACCCTTACTTGCACAAACGGAGGACAAAAGAAGCTATCTACATGAGTCACAAACAAACCATCCAGCCTGGACAGCTGGAAAGGATGCATCATCTTTAATTAATCAGCTACTGTATGACAAGTTTTAAACTCAAAGGTTTTGGGAGTCATGTTGTTGCTAAAATGCTCTTTCATGAGTCAAACTGTGCTTTCTTTCTTTGTTTGTTTCTTTCTTTGTTTCTTTAATCGGCTGAAGAAATGGGAACAAACTGTGTCTTTGTGACAGGCTGCTGGTAACAAAGTAACCAAAGATCCAATGTAAAATGGGTTTATTGCTAAAGTGTCTGTTCTGCCTCAGCACAACTGCTGACTGTTTAGGAGGCCTGAACACTTTATAAAAGTTAAAGTCGCTGTGCAGTTGTACAATTTATGAGGTTAAGGTAAAGCAGTTTAACAAACTAACACACATTAACAACAGAAACAMTTGAAAATGGTCTGATACTGAATTGAAAACTGACCTAAAAAGCAGTCAAATAAAGAAAGCCTGAAGAAATGTTGCTCAAGGCCTCTCAAAAATCACAGAATATTGAAGGAACCATGAGTTAAAACTAAAAGCCTTTTAGCAAAGTAACACAGTATGTTTGTATGGATAAAAAATGTTGTCTGAAAATGTTTCACTTTGTATTTTTCTTAACCTGATTTAACTCCAGAAATTATTATTTTTTTTTATATATTTCTACAGGAATATGACCTGAAACAGAAAAAAATAAAAATAAAAGAAACAATGACCAGTGTGGTCCTGACCC